TTATAAAGAACCTAGACATTCCCGGCACGAAGGACCTACAGAGAGAAAGAGCTCACTGGGCATTAGCGCCACTGCCTACGGCAAGTGCCCAGCGCAGATTGATCCTAGTCAGATTCCTCAGTTTCAGAATGAAGGAAGAAGTGCTTAAACTGGCATGGCAAAAGAAAATCCTCTCATGGACAAACTGCAAAAAGAGCCTTGACCACATATGTACCGGGAATCCCAGTCAGACGGAAGGAATATGCGGTGGCATGGAGGGTCCTGAATGAAAACATCAGAAAATTCCAGTTCCTGTAACCAGCTTGGCTGAGAGTATTCTATGACAACGGGGAAAACTCCTACCTGGTGGAGGAGGCAGTGTTGGACCAAGTGGACCGGGGATTCACACAACCAGAATCGCTTCTGGAGAGGATTCAGCGTGGTCACGGCAGCCTGTGCAGACGCAGCGCACAACTCCAGGTTAAAAGGAGAAACTACAAGTATTCAGACCTGGACAATCAGAGAAGACGGACTAATGTAAAAGTCTGAAAAGAGCAGTTTGGCTCAGGTTAAAAACTATTTAAAAAACAAAAACCCGGACAAAACACTTTAAATCATAGCAACATGGTAGAGACATAAAAAAGGCGGGATATTCTATGGTTGTTATCACAGCAGAAGTCCCCTCTAACCCAGTTATCCCTCAGAGTCAGTCAATAAACTTCATGAAGAACTTTACAAAGTCTGGAAAAAATTTCAAATGTTCTATGTTCAAAACATCTCTTGTCTCAGTTCTGCTTTTTGTTTTTTTGTTGAGAAGGGATTGCTTGCTATCTAGAAGGCAAGAGTGGTCATTTTACTTCAGTTAGCTCAAAATGCAAGGTGGATCTTTGAAAACAATTTCTTTTAAACATTTCGCAATATCGTCTTTACTGTGATAAACACACGTTTAGGTTTAGCACACACACACACACACACAAACATTTTGGTTTAAACACATTTCAGGAGGAGGGAGATACAACACCGGATGACCTACGTTTCACAGTTTTTACTCTGAGGCTATCGCCGTTCCGTTTCGTAGTGGAACCTCTTGCTTTTCATTTCTGCGCCCACGTGTATAGGTTAGAGCAGCCTCACAGCCCCTGTGAGCAGCGAGACTGCTGCTGCCTCACTGCTGTCACTAGTCCTCAACAGATCATTATCATTGTGTATTTTTGCTGAGGAGAAATATGCAACACACAGCTGAGCTGCTGACGGTCCATGTGTCTTTTGTAGTACTGGTCCAACAGCGTGTAGGCTGCATATTTTCAACTTTCAAATGTGGGTTAAGATGTAAAAGATTATGTTAGCTTTCGGGTTCTTCAAAGATGTAAATTATTGTAAAAGTTATGTTATTCACATTTTGGCTGTGGTGAAAAGAGGTGAGAAAATTGAAATAATATAGCAGTAAATATGTGGAAAAAAACAACCATTTATTTTAGATATTCTTTGTTGCTGAAATCCAGGTTGCTCAGCAACACATTTCAAGCACATCTCAAAAACAGCATGGCTGTTATTAAGTTAATTAAAGGATTGATGAAATTCAAAATCAAAAATACTTATTTTTGCTCTTATCTGTAATGCTATCTATCAAACTAATCGAATCTAATTTTGGAGAGATCCGCTGTAGAGATGTCTGCCTTCTCTCAAATATAATTGGACAATATATTACTCAAAAAAAATACATTCGCAAAACTCAACATCAATGTGTCTTTACAGAAATCAGGACCCAGTTACTCAGTGAAAACAGGCCAGTGCAGAAAACATGGATCTCTCTCTCAGTGAAGCAGAATCTGGGCACCAGGGAGCTCCGGAACGGGACAATAGGTTCAGTCCGGCAGGGTCACCTGGTTTTGTAGTTAATAAAATGGAATTTTATTTATTCATGTGTTGTTTAGAAGCAATAGGTTATCTTTCTTTTTTTAATTTGACTGATTGAGCCAGCTTTGGGAAGCCCTCAGACCCTTATAGTAGGGGACTGATACCATTAAATAAGCTGCACCCAGACCCTAAAGGAAGACATCAAAGACTATCTAGAAGTTAATGATTCTGGGAAAGTGTCAATTGTGTGGGACATAATGAAAGTTGTAATAAGAGGGAAAATAATTTCCAGCACTGCATATGGGGAAACCTAGGGGCAAAGATTGGCAGATCTGCAGGGGAAATTAAAACATATAATTTGTTGACAGCAATAAAACAACTGGAAATGAAAAAAAAACTACAGAGATTGACTAAATACATACACAGGAAAACCAGAAAAGGTTTCTTTTACAGAAAAAAATAAATAATGAAGTCAGAGGTAAATCAGCTAAATTTGTAGTGCACAAGTTATGCAAACAGGCGGAAAATTACATTTATAAAACAAAGAACCCTAAAACTAAAAATGAGGAGAATAGAATAGAGAAAGCGAGCTTTGAAACATTTTACCAGGAGCTATATTCTCAACCCCAGGCCTCCAACAAGACCCATATCAACACTGTAAGTTCTTTAGAACTGTCCATACAAAATGAAAAACTAGTACAAGTAGTTTCTACCAAAGAATTGGACTCGGCCAGCTCTGAATTAAAGGCTGGAAAGTCCCTAGGCTCAGATTGTTTTACCACAGAGTGGTACAAATCTTTAAAGTCCCAGATATCACCATTATAACTCAACCCGTTAAACTCAATTTACCGAAAGGAGAATTTCCACCCTCTTGGAGGGAGGCAATTATCTCTGTTATTCCCAAAGAGGATAAAGAAAAACAAGAATTTGGGAATTATAAACCCGTCAGGGTTCTCAATTATCCAGCAACACTTAAAAACAGCAACACTAGTAAATAAAACAATTTTATTTTTTAGACCAAGGCATTTTGGCCTGTGTCCTTAATCAGGGTTGTCAATAAATGTTTTGACCTCTTCAGACTTTTCCCTTTCCCATGCACCTTGGAAGTTGATGAACCCCCCCTCTACAATGTTCTCCATTATTACAAATTATTTACTTCTATTTTAGCTCGCATATTCGAAAGACTCTTACCTGACCTCATCCATTTAGAACAAACTGTTTTTATTCAACAAAGACAAATATGGAAAACATAAGGACCTCACATATTGTCTCTGTTGGGCGGAAGCCATGTTCAATACAGTTACTTTTCAGGAAACGGAAGAAATAAAACCCTACATGTGGGTAAATATTTATGTGTGTGTGTGTGTTTGTGTGTAGATATGTAACATTTTACCTTTTTATTAGGAGAAAGTTGGCATGAGATACAGAGAAATGTGGTCTAATTGTCCAAAATGGGGGCCGGGGGAGAGAATTTTTCCCTCAGCTGCAGGTTAGGGCATGCTGGTGGAATGTAATTAAAACAAAGCTGCACATAAATAACAGCCTACCAGCTGGCCACCCACTTGTGGGTAGTTTAGAATTAGGAAATTATACACCCGGAGCGAAATGTGTGAAGCATTTGTTTCTAAAATCATTAAGGGCTATCCGAAATGACAGGGTGCAGTCAACTCATGGGGGGGGGGGGTTTGGGTTGCCCAGATCTGAGCCATTCCTTGTTTCAAGACTGAGACAGACGCAGTGTTTTAGCCATAATGTGGCAAAAATAAGACTTGGACAGTGAGCGAACAGACGGGCAGCAAATACGTTGATTACAGCAATGCTGCACGATTGGCATAAGAAATAAAGACATTTTGATACTTCTTTTGTGCCACGAAAACTTGTTACTTTTGGAATCTAACGCAATAGAAATAAGACAAACAGCATTTTAAATCAATGACTAATGTTGAGTATTGTTGAGTATGACTGTAAACTACTCAAAACGATCTCTTCAGATAACTGCTACACATCTGACTTATTCATTATTCAACAAGATGAACCTAAAATTTACAGCTAGGTCTATAAGTCACAGAGGCAATCAAATGCAGGACCGGCATACCAGAGTCAAACAGGAAGCAGAAAAAAACAAACTAAGTCACACAATAACAGAAACAAACTAACGATCGGGGCAGACCCCGTGCTCTGCAAGGAAAATTTAGTGTTTTTCTTAATCGAGTCTGATGGCTTTGACGAAAGCATAGATGGATGCAACAGTTTCCGTTGCCCTTCTGAAATGGTTGTCTCATGGCAGCCATAACGGCACCACAACATAATACGCAGTTAGCTGCAGCAGAATGCGAGATTAGCTGTTGACTGACACAGAGGTGCCAAGGCACGCACCCACTCACCCACTAGGCATCACATGATTCTCCAGGCGGAGATAATACATCTCTCAGCCCACTTTTTTAAAATGATGCAATGGGTGAAGTTAGGCTAGGACCTGAGGGCTTTATAATGCCCATCGCTGTGTGAAGTTACACCCATCCCTAGTACAGCGGGGCTTGTACAGTTCATTAGTGATGCACCGATATCTGCATCGGGTCCGATACTGTGCTCATGTACTTGTAAAACCACTCTGGTACAACCACACCCAAAACCACTATGGCAACGTGACATCTGATGAAAATAAAACAATTATTTTGTTAAGTACTTATCCCTCGATATGGATACTATAATGTAAGTACTCGTACCTGGTCTGAATATCGGTATCGGTGCAACCCTACAGTTTATGTTTACCTTATCGCAGTGGCAGGAGAGGGGTAATGTTGGCAGTTCATGGTTCTGGGATCTTCATTCCAGGGATCTAGAGGTCTCATCTGGGTTGGCCAGCCATCAACTTCGAATTGACTCAAAAGACCTGACATGCAGTCATTGACATGGCCAAAAATGTTCATTAATCAATTACCTTTTCCATTCATCAGGATATACATTATAAATACAATGTAAATTGCACATCAAACAATTTGAGTACTGTTTTCTATCTTAACGCATCATTGCATTTACTTTTTAACTGTTCATGATGTTACAATCTCGTGTAACATATACTACGCAGACAGTAAGCATACAGTCCCCTCTCTAGGGACATTTTTAAAGCTTAAAAGATACTATGTTGGCAAAGAAAGAAGATATTTCTGTGATAAGAATTTATTACATTTTGAAAGCATCACACTTTTAAAATGGGCCTTACAGTAACTGTAAACCCACATCATCTCATCACTTATGAGACCTGACAGTTTATTTCACCCAAGCAGAGACTACTAATCTGATTTCATGAAAGCAGACTTTAAATGTGAAGAAGCATACACGTGTATTCAATAGATCATTCCACATTTGATTGTGGGTGAATTCAATATTTATTTCTGATAAACATCTCTGCTGTGACATTTTTTTGTGTCCACAGTATTCATTTCGGACCAGACGTCTCAGTGAATTACCCCCTTTTAAACCCAGGACATTAATAGTGACACCAAAGGTTATTCATTTAAGTCTTTCATAGTGCAACTATAGGTGTATATATGCAACTAAAACTTCATATTGATTCATGTATCATTACAAAAAAAAGTCTTCATTCTATTCCAAGCAACAACATACACATAAGGGTTATTTAAAAGATTGTTTCCATCAGAGGAACAAAGTGGAATTGTTTCATGTTCTGCACAAATCTATAAAGCTATTTAAACACATCAAAAGAAAAGTTAGGTGAAAAATGTTCCAAGGCACTTAGAATTACGCGTGAAGGGAATTTACAGAACAACACATTAACAAAACTCATATACATAAATCAAACATTGACACATTAGATCCAGTTGGAAATCAAGACAGATTCAGTGGTTGAAAAGGCACGTTTCTGTCTCAAACAAATGAAGTAGTAAAAAGCATATCCTAGCAAACGTTATGGGTTGCCATTCATCCATAAAGTGCATCACATAACCTTTTTTTCTAGGTCAAGTGTGAGAGGATTCGATAGAGCTGTGGTTGTTATACACTTCATTAACTCATCATCAAAGAGTGAAAACACACTACAAAATGTGAAACCACTGCCCTTCAAGTGTTTTATATGGCTTTTGGGCCTGGTGACACTCTTTTCTAATACCCGCACCCACCGACCCGCTATAAAAGACAATCTGCACCGCCCGACCTGCAAATTAAGCGTTTATCAACCACCCGACCCGAACGCATACCGCCAACTTTATGCATTATAGTCGCAGAATTGTCAAGACTCTAGCCTGACTCGAGTGCCGCTGCTAACACACTCTTGCTAGTGTCTCAAGATTAGCAACCCTAGATGTAAAAGGTTAGTTCATCCAGACGACAAAATGTTCTCGCCTACTCTTACAGGAATCTAGCATTGCAGATAGTTTTGGTTTTATGTGCAGAGGTCACAGTTACTCATGATGTTACCCTCAGATGGCCCCGTCAAGAGGGAGTATGCGCCGGTAGATGGTGGTTTCACCGTGTCTGTGGATAATCTGTGGATTACTGTTTTTCATGCCATTTTACCAGTACTTTGGGCACCACAAACAAAAATTCCATTGACCTAAATTAGATGAAGATAGAGGCAGAAACATTAGAAGTGGATATATTTAAAGATGCTTGCTGAGAACAGAATTCAATGCCTCCACACAGCTTTCAACACGGAGCCGGCTGAGGCTGCGGCTAGCAGCTAACTGTGCTATAAGCACGAAACAGTGCAGATGACGGCACCAGTGCTGAGAGAGCCAACAGTGTTTACCTAAAAGGGGAACGATCTGGGGCGGGGCGGCATTATCAGCGGTAATTGCCATATGAGCGCAATGCACAGCGGCGGCCATTACTTCGCCAGTGGGGAACAAAAGAGACTGGCGTCCACTAAAATGTATGTCGTAGTGACTCAGTGTCTGTTAACCGTGTTAACTGATGACTTTCAGCTAAGTCCGTCCTTGGTTACTCGTAGTAACTTACTTAAATGGTTGGTGTAGATAATAAACAGATTAGTATATATTTGTTAATTGATTAAAGTAAAATTGAAGGCTATTACAAGGACATTAGGTTAGCTTAGTTGATTTAAGCACACTAACCTTTGCTACGCTACCTAAGCAGCGTTGACTTGGCTGATGTTACTTGTTTCACCACGTTAGACTAACATTAGGCAGCTGATAAGTGCAGGTTGTTCTCGACATCATTGTTAAAAGTAAGTTAATACGGAAAGTAAACTTGAAAGTAGAACATTTTACACTTCCTAGGACAGCTTGCATGCGAGAGACGCCACCGTAGTAATGGTGACTCGTTCACTTCCGGTATTTCCCGGTTTTGTATATATTTTTTTTATCTTCACATTACAAATAGCTGTTTGCTGCTATGTTAATGCACTGAATTCTGTATATAGATAACCGTTAAAATCTATAGTAGATATGACCAAAACCTTCTGCAAGGCCACACACTCGTAGGGGTAAGTAGAAAATGTTTTGTTTTTTTGTTGAATGGGTGAACTGATCCCTCGTTGATACCCATGTTACAACATCTAGGTTGACCTCGAGGAAACTGATGCAAGTCCAGGCTCAGTCTACTCTATTAACAGGCAAGGTGCCAGAAGAGGTTTAGTGTTGTAAATATGTATGGACTTTCCTTAAATTGGCATAAGCAAACTGATGCATGTGTCAGGGGAATGACATTACATTCCTCTAAAAGCAACAATGGACCACATTTCCTTGTCTCTCTCTCTCAATAGAATACATTACAGATTTGATGTATGGTCTCTCACAGGACTTTAGTTCACCAGAAATCTTCCATGGCACTAACACAAGGCGGAGCCGAGGCCTTTAGACGCAAACTGAAAGTGAAAACCCCAAGAAGTATGAATGGGAGTCAATGGCAGTACAAAGCAATGACATGGAAGTACATAAAGTTATCAATCCTCTGTGATACCCACCTGGTTACTGGTGCATATCCTGAGACATCTAATCTATCCAGACTTTTATTTATTCCTATAGTCGCATGGGGGGGGGGGGGGGTGTTTCTCTGGTTTGAGAGGAGGGCCTCTCATCACAAGTGATGAGCCACAACGCACGTCTGCAGAAACTGATGAGGTGATGGTTCAGGTTTTCTGTAGATTGTCATGACTGTGAATGTCTAAGTGATCTTTTTTTTTTGGTCAAGAAGCCAAACTTTGGCTTTGTGACTGCAGGATCAAGTTGATTCAGACTGGCGGCCGCTGTACGAGGTTCAAAAGTAAACGGGAAGGATTGAAAAATCCCCACAAGACAGATCAACTTAGTTTTAGTTTTAAATAAGTGTAGCCATGTAATTCAAGATATAGTTCATATCTTGCACATGTTGAGTGAGGTCTTCAGGATGTCTTCTGTAGGGGCCAGCTAAAATATCCCATGACCCATTGTGTAGGGGGAAATATAAGTGAAACAGGCTGTTGCAGTATGAAGATGTTCCCTTTTAACATTTACACGGATCTTGAGATAACTGCTGCTTCAGATCCATCTCCAAGACTGAAAGGCCAAACAGCAGTAACAAAGTGGAAAGTGAAAAGAGGAAATTGGAGTTGTGGCGGGAGGAAGGAATGATAAGGTAAAGAGGCCAGAAAAACAAACAAGAAGTTATGGAAAAGCACTCAAATATAATGAAGTAGGGGAGGAGGAAATGGAGGGACGAGGAGGAGAGGGGGACCAGTGTTCATTGTTATTCTTCCAGCTTCTGGTGGTGAAGCTGAGTGACCTCAATGACCGGAGGAGAGGCGCTGAGTGGCGGACCACACCAACAGGCGGAGGATCGCAAAGGTTGGACCTCACATCTGCCACTAGAGATAAGGAGGTCACAGCAGAGGAAACTAATTCAGTAATTGACCTATTCAACTCAAATGCAATGCAACATGAGAGCTGTACAACTCAGACAACATGAAGCCAGACAGACAGAGAGGATCAAAGAGGAAACATACAGTGGAGGAGAGATGCTAATACAGCCCAACTTAGGAGCCATCAAGGAGACGCATACTGTAGGGACGTGTTATTAATGCCACGACAACAGCAAGTTACAGGTCGACTGAAAACACAGCAAGGAGACAGGTTTTTACTTCGGATCCTCTTCCATCTCACACTGCATGACATATAACCAGGAGATGTCTGTGTACAGAACTCCACACCGTTTGTGACTAGCCGACTAGCCATGTGTTGAATACATTACTACCAGACAGCTCAAACAGATGGTATAGTCCGTTTTACACATGCTGATTCAAAAGGCAGAATGAGAAGGATTTGTCGGGTTGTGGACGAGCAGGTAGAAGCCAGCCCCAGATTCACTCTTGTTTTGGAACGAGCTTTATCCGCTTGCCTTGCTTATTTCCGGCCTTTTTTTTATAGCTCAGAAACATCCCCAACAGAGCAAAATAAGAAAATCCAGACAGTGTGCAGGGTATCTGCAGATACAACACAACACACTTGTAATGGGTCATAAGTGATGATTGAGAGGGATTATGTTTGGATGAGAACATTTCTTTTTCTCACCCCACTCATTCTGCCTTCAATTAAGGGATTTCCCCTGCATGTCATGAAACCAGATGATGAGAGGAAGAAGCAAGACCTGAAATCCAACAACCTACAATGCCCACATAGTGAGCATACATCACCGTGTGAAAGAGAGGCGCTAACAGCACGTGTTAGTCAAATATGATGCAGGGGAGCAGTGTGGCACAGCCAAAAGGTTCACAGAGCACAGAACACGGCAGTACAATGGATAGACGCCACGGTTGGGAACAAATCATTTTCAGGACAGTTAAATTCAAAAAGGGGAAATACTACGAAAAACTTCACTTTAGTGTCTATTTTAAAATGTATTTTGTGGCCTGAAGCCCTGTTGTCCTTATAAATAACAAGAACCTTTGTAGCAAAAAACATCTTTCTTTCAAGGTTCGTGTCCACAAGGCCACCGAAGTTTAAAGGGACATTTTGTCACATTAAATGTGGATGTCAAATCAGTGTTGATAGTAAATGTAGTCAATTGAAGCAGTACATTCCTCAATGCGTGTTATATTGACCCAGAGTTTGCGGTTTAAAAAAAAAATCCCTTCCTGCATTTGATGCGACAGCTGAAATATGTGAGGATGTTATGGACAAGGACACATTTTACAGTGTTTTTGATGAATCGGATATTCAGGCTGCAGCGGGGATCACACTGAGGAATTAATTGCTTTAATTGACTACATTTACCATGAGCACTGATTGTGATATCCACCTATAAAGGTACCAAATTTCCCTTCAAGACAATTTGTGTAAGAGAAGGTAAGATCTTTTCCTGAAAGTGAAATGACCCCAACCTTGATAAACATCCAATCACATAAAAGATAGGTTCATATTTTTTTCCAATGGAAATCTCAATACAATGCTCACATGTCATATACAGTATATATGGCCAGTGTGGATATTAGGAACAATAAGAGCAACAATTAACTGCACATATGGCATACGAGCATGGTATTAAGACAAGATGTGAAAATAATAGAAACCTGTTCTTTTGCATCCTGATACCACGGAGAAAGGACACCTCCATTCAAGTTAACAGTGGGATGCAGGTTACTGAAAAGAAGAATGTGACAAGACAGTATGCCCGTGTAATGTCAGCCTGAGCTGGCATACAGTATAAAGTACCTCACATGTTATGGGACTCGTTTTTTTTCAGATTGGGGCAGCACTGCTGTGAAATGTGAAGGTCGAAAAAACAAGAAGGGAAGGGAAACATTTATTTTTTTTTAAAAAGCGCACTAACAGGTGTGATTATGATGACAAAAATCGTATTCATATTTTCACTTTCAAAATCAATGGTATCTTTGCAGACGTACATGCCAACAAATCATTTATTTAAAGAACAGATCAGAGACTGATGTGTTGATACAGCCATGTGCAAAGGTTTGTCATTTAGGCCCAAGATTATTAAAGGACAGTTTGGGTTTTGCATTTCTTGACATTAAAAAGCCAGTTACAAATTGGATCAATTACTGGAAATGATCACTGATATCTGGGAATCATGTGGGGATAAAGATACTAGGACATTGGATATCCCGTCAATGGGCAATAAAAAATAATGGGCAATAAAAATATCTAAAGTAACCTTCATAATGCTTTATAATGGATCTGTATGTCTGTAGCAATTGGGATTATTTTGTGGTAAGGACTAATAAATCAATGCAGTGCAAAAAAAGGAAGCTTATAGTTAGTGATGAATCAAAAGAATTGTGATTGGATTAGTGTATCATTTTTAAGATGAGAGGCGGAACTTTTGACAGGTAAATTTGAACATTTAACAGGAGTATTCTCAGATCAGATTACATCATTTTGAGATAAAGTGCTTAAACATTACACAGTTAGGAGGCTTATCAATTAGACCAGCAGGCCCAGGACTCATAACAGGACCAGTATTACTGAACATAACCTGGTATTATGTAAGATAGTAAAAGTCTTGCATTTGCATGTATCTAAGCGTATGTGTAGCAATAACAGCATTTTTTTTTTAAATCAGGACTTTTACTTGTAGCGCAGTATTCTTTCCATTGTGGTATTGCTACTTCTGCTAAGGAAATTAGAATACTTTTCCAATTATAGATGGAAGCAGAGCACAGGGTTTAAATGCATCTATCTTCTTGTGCCTATTTCCTCCTATGTCATTTGATTAGGTAGTAGAGAAAAGTGCACACTGCTTAGGACCGGCCAATCAAGTTCACCACGGTAGACAGTCAATAAGCCATGGTTTAACTGAAGGGAGATCCATGCCTTTGTTTACACATGCTTTACTTCATATTTAGTAAGAAGCCTACAGCTTTTTCACCTGCTCCCTTTTACCATGTTCATTTGGTGTTGGTGCAAATTCAACACATCCTCTATCGGTTTCACATTAAGTGCTTCCTGTGGTTAACGGGGCGTAATCCCTTTACTTCCCTGAAAGGCTTTTTCTGGAAACATCTTCAGGAATAATGGAGTTTCATTAGCAGCAGCTTAGCCCCAAAAAAAACACAAGTGCAACAGTAGAACTCACCAGAAAATAATGTATACTCATCATAATCACTGTAGTTACTGTGCGTGTGTAACATGGAAGAAAATGGATTTGAAACTTAACGGTCACGGGAGGAAAACACGAGTGAAACGGGAGACGTGGGCTTTAGAGACGTGTATTTGTATAAGCAAAGGTCACAGTGCATGGACGCTCCCATAGGGTGATTGATGCAGCATTCAACCGTTGACCAGTTAACTGTGCCCTCGACTCCTGAGCCACTTCCTAAAGCATTAGAACATATATTTTGGGGCTCTCTTTTTGTGGCAGAAAAACACCAAATGGGGAATATCACTGGGCATCATTTGCTCTGTGTAATAGAACCAACCGGAGAATGGGATGGTGGGATTCACTTGAGAATGGGGCCGTGTGAGTTGTGTTTGGTCTCTACATTTGTGGAGTTTTCTGGCGCTGAATCTCATTCACTACTGCGTGTGGTGTGTGTGTGCGCGTGTCCATTACCCAGTGTCGTCAAGCACATCCTGATCAGCCTCTGCAGCGGACGACTCCACATCTGCACTGCTCTCGCTGCCCTGAGCTGACAGATCGCACAGAGACTCGGGGCTCACACACTCGCCACTGGGACGGACAGAGACACACAGAACCAGGTGGTTTTTATTGACTTAGTTACTACGTTTGATGCTATTTTAGAACTTGCGTGTGGACCTCAACGACCACCTCCCTCTGCCTAAGAAGCAGCACATGGTGTGAACCACATGTGCGCCGCTTGTATGTCATTTTTTGTCTTTTGTAGTTTGTACTTTGTTACAACCCTGAATCCCGTTTCTTGTATTGTATGCGTGTGTGTGTGTGTGTGTGTCTACTGACTTGATATGCTTCTGCAGTAGCAGGAGGGCTTGCTCCCTCTCTTGCAACCTCCTCTTCAGGGAGGCGATCTCCTTCTGCTTCTCGAGCAGCTCCTTCTGGAGACGATAGTTGCTCTCCTCCAGAGTCTCACAGAACGCCTGCAGGGAGGCAGTGACGGAGAAAAGATGAACAGAAAATATTTGTTAGGAACAAGGATTGGCGAGCAAATCCTGACAAGCAACAGAGGAGATGACGGGGATAACATTTCTGCATGCAGGATACCTCAACATGGCAGACTCTAAAGCCACTTGTTGAATCTAACAAGTGAAACATGTTCATTGCCTGCTGTGATGTGAGTGAGTTCGTCACTTAATATGATATCCCTGGAAAGTGTAGGGCTGGGTATCGTTTTTATTGCTCAAATACATATAAATAATAGAAAGCTTTGTATTTACTGTAGTCTTAAGACACACACAGAGGAAAAGAGATCTCAAACGGTGATAGGTCAGTCCTAATAGCTCAATAAAACACAATAAAGACAATAAAAACACTGGTGACAGCAGAAATGGATATGGCAGCAAATTAAGATATATAAAAAAGGTCACTTTACAAGAGCTCTCAGGGCCACAACCTTTTTATACCTTTCTCTTTCCAAAGATTCCATCTTAATGTATTTATTTCTGTCTTCTGATCTGCAGTTGGGTGTTTCTTTTCATATCTAATCTAAAATTAAGAAATGTGGTCAAGTAAATATCTAAGAGTCTGAAGAAAAACTACTCTTTAAAGGGCCTTGAAATGACACGGATAACACATACAGTACATGAGCTAACGTGATGTCACATGCGTATGCACACTTACTCTGCTCTCCTCCAGACTATCAAAAGGCCCAGGTGGGTCATCAAGACACAGAAACTCTCTCACTGCCAGGCTGTTGAGGAGAACAAATGAGGTGACATGAATATACTGTATGTGTGTGTGTCTGTGGTTGTTGTTAATGAACGGACCGGTGTGCTCATTAATACAATAAAAAAAGCTTAAATAAAATTGAAGTTGATAGCTCATCAACTATCAGATGACCACGTCGTTTACACAAAAAGGCAAAAATAATTCCATTTTAACAAAAGACTCTCTGCATAATCATGTGACATACCAGTTGGCGATGTCCTTGTGTGCCACCAGGTTTTGCAAAAAAGCCTGTAGTCCCAACTGTCTGTCTTCCAGGAAGTCGCTGTCATAGTTGTCTTTGAACCACCGCTTGGGAGGAAGCGAGAGGCGGAAGCCGGGGAACATCTCCTTCAGCTAGAAGACACACAAACACACACTTATCACATGGTCTCTCTCAAAGAGTTAGTCACAGCCGTTATTGTGAAAGAATACTTTACAGTTGAGGACAATGTGAGGTAAGAGTGGCAAAGAGAAATAGTACATGCTGCTGCTCCCTGAAGCACTCGCGGCACACTTCTGCATTACATGCTGTGATCAACTTGTGAAGTCTGCTGTCCTCCAATCCGTTTCCCTCATCAAATAACCACCTTTTAAAAAGGTATCGCGACTACACACATGTTCAAATTTGATACAAACTTGCATTTCAAGGTCAGATTGCACACAGAATCATTTCTTAGATAAAAGTAGGATCATACATTTCTAATTTGCATGTTATCTCGGTTTGGTTTGAACACGATTCAAGTCTTATGTCACATGCAAAACACTTACAGAGAAGTTCATAGTTTTTTGTAAAACAAGCGGATGGATAGATCTGTGAGAAAAAAAAAAGCTAAGAGCAGCAAATAAAATCAGCATGCCAGATATTTAGCTGGTACCCTTTAGCACTGAGCTCCAAGTGCCCCTCGGTGTGTCTCTACCACCTTCTTTTTTTCTCTATTGAATGCATGAATGTAGAGACGGTGCTCAACAGCAAATAAGATGTGCAGGGCGCTGTGATTCAGTGTGGAGGAAGAGAAATCGCATCATTACACCAAATTGTTACAAAACCTAGGAGGTATGCCTCCACCAACCAGTCAAAATGCAGTTTAGAGACATATCTGTACAAAATGTCATCACTTTATCCTATTAGCTATTTTTGTGAAATTGGCATAATGAGCATATTAATTATTGAGTTTTGTTCAAAAACATGTTTTGTCAGGTCACAGTTATTTTGACCATCGACCACCAAAATCTAACCAGCACACGCCTCTGGCCACGGCTGTCGCCTGGCGCGGAGGCTGTTTCAACTGTGTCGCAAACATGCGTCAACGCCTCTGGAGAACCCTGAAGTAAATTACATTGGCATGGCATTCTCTGCTCGAGAACCGCTCCCAGAGTCTCGGGAGCAGAGAAAGAAAGACATTCATTCCCTCTACGGATAACCCTTGCATCAACCTCCTGCCACATTATGAGATATGACCCTGACGGGAAGAACTGTTGCTTACGCGCCAAACCACACAGCTTCTGGAAATACTGCTCAGTGTGCGTGTGCAATGTTTGACATGAAGACTCAAACTTGTCACAATACCATTATAAATGAACCCCTTGAAAAATGACCAATTGCTGCCTTTGATAAGAACTAGGGCTGACCTCTTCTGCTCATTGTCCTGTGCGGACTGCCTCAGCTGGAGCCTTCAAAGTTAATCACGCCTATTTCCATCGCGATTTACTAAATCCTCAAAACAGATGTAGGCGGTATAGTGGAAGGTGGAATTTTTTTTTATGTGGTCAACTTTGGGAGATACTGTATTGAGAAGAGGCCCTGATGTCAGTTTGCTCAGCAGGAGGTGGGTTCAGTGTCTATGTATACATTGGTGTCTTCACTTGGCAGCCTGAGCCATCTGCACAAACGTACAGTAAAACAATGTTGGGTGAGGTTCCACACCACTAAACATGTAACCGTGCCGCATGCCGAAAACCGGATCAATCATGTGTTCCATGCCTCGTTTAGCTTAATTACATGTCCATGTTTGGCTGTGTGCACAGAGGGCAAGTCCTCTTCAATAACTTCTAGATAAATGCACAAAGGAAAATCATCCACATGTTTGTGCAGACGTGCCACATTGATGGATGCACCTGATGCTGAAACATTTCCTGCCATTTGAATGTATGAATGAGGCCTCAAAAATGACAGTAGGTGGATGACAAAAGACCATTTATCATGGACATTACAGCTGCCTTTTGCGGGAAAAGTCACAAGAATGCTAGAGAAGTCCCCCCTGCCCCTCCTTACCTCTTCCTCCTAACCAGGTGGATCCCATTTCCTGTGTTTCCATTCTTCTTGCCTGGGGTTACTGAATTACTGCATTTCAGTTATAGATTTAATCGCTATTTTACAACCCTATAAAAATATGTATTGCTTGTTTGTTGCAGATATTTAGCATCATCGTTTTTTTCTGTTGCGGGCTCCGTTTTTTTCCATACAATATTATCACATGGCATCACATCCCCTTCTGCTGGCAATATTTCCCCCCCTTTTATAATCTGTGACAAAACGATCCATCCCGAAACCACGAGAGACCTGTTCCCTAGTTGGCTCGGCCCTGTTGGCCATTTGGGAACAGAAGGATTCTTTGTGTAGCTTTAATCACTTCCACACTGCACTCAAAAACAAAAGAAAGCATGCTGAAAGCAATTCTTTGATGGTCATAAACAGCGTCCGCAAGCAGATGATCACTAAATGAAGCTTCATATAGGCCTGAGATTTGGGACTGCCCGTACTTTGCACACACATGTGCGTATGTACATAGAACACACCTTGTCGTTGAGTCTGGAGAAGTCTGTGTACCTTCTAAAAACAACCCAGCTCTCATCGGGAGTCTTCCTGACCAGGACCTTGAATACCTGCAGCAGAGATAAGACAATACACGTGAACTTAAAGCCACATATTATTAAGTAATTGTTGACATTTGACCTTTAATCTCTAGTATTCCTCATGCTGTGTGTTTGTCCTCAGTGAGCATATCTGGTCTCTTTAACCTACATGTCAATATAGGCTAAATAACACAGCATTTCAAATGTAATCAGAGCACTTAGCTGGAAAGTTATGCCACAGATAGACAAGTTCAAAAAGGTTGTCATGACAAGCCCATTTTCTGCTTTCATACCGTGAACTTGGCCCTCTCCTCCATGACCTCATACCCCAGCAAAGTGGGGGTAAAGGGCCTCTCCTCGCCTTGCTGGCTCCCAGCAGGATCCGAAATGGAGCGTGGACAGCTGGAGTACTCGATGGAGGGCTCCAGAGTCCCGTTCACCCTGGCCAGTGTCACAGGGCTGAAGAGGGGTGGTGGTGTCCTGCTCCGACCGCCACTGTCCATGCCGCGGGATTGCCGCCGGGAACCTAATCCTCCGCATCCTCTTCCATGGTCCTCCCCGGCCAAGATGCTGGAGACGCTGCCTAGTGACGAAGCTCGCTGTGGCCGCCTGAGCTTGCTGCTACCTGCTGACAAGGCTCTGTCAAACGGCACGGGGACAGGCACAAAGGGTGATGCCATCTTCCTGAGCTTTGTCCTCCTGCCCCGCCACCGCAGTAGTCAACCAGGCTCTTCACACGGACCTGGCTTTGCTTCAGTGGAAGCTGTGCAATAATGAAGTGAAGCAGTGATGCTCACCGTGGGGGGGCTGACAACGACTCCGAGTACCCTGCACCAAGAAAAAGAAGAGAATAATCCTTATTCCTTTTATTCATCATGATCAAAATGGACTATAAGCCTCCCTAAATACAGGCGGCAAAAATGGGATCCTCAGATTTTCCTTAAACTTCCACCAATGTAGCAGAATCTGTCAGCAAACATTATCCTTAAATGAGGGTGCCAGACTGTGAGGGCAGATGAATTATTGACATGAGCCACATATCATTCATAATTCATGAGTTTGTGCATTATTTGTAAAATGCATGATGGGAAAGGGCCTGTGAAGATCTGTAGATAATTATAGTGAGTCAGATCCTCTTGTCCACTTATTCTCATAGCAGCCTGATTGATTCTAGCAAATGCTGCAAAAAGCCACGATGAGATGAAAGTAAAGAGGAACCTGCAGATATTGATTTCAGCTCAGCCTGAGAGACTGTTGGCCACCTGTCAAACCTGTTTGGATTAATCCAGCATCAGTGGCGCTTACAGAGACCAGCCCTGTGCCTCTGTGTGATTATCTTAATAATTACATGTTAGTACTACACATTGCAATGGGTGTATGGGATGTTAAAATACATATTTCAATGTAAATGTAAGGCCAGAGGACAAAAGAAGAAAAAAAAACAGATGGAAACATTACAGAAGAAAGGCACAAAGGAAGAATTGGTTAAGTTAACAAAATGACACTGATGATATTTAGGCTGCTTACTCCTGACTATATCTATTTTGGTGCGCTTATGAAACATGTAGAAAGAGATGAGACTAGAGCCAGCATGACTACAGAACGATGGCTGGCAAATATCCTGCTTTAACCAACGTTATACTTTTATGTCACGTTTCTTAAGTCAAGCGGCCAATGATGTAGCTAGCGTTTGGTAGGCAAAGTTAGCACGCGAGCTAACCTGAGAGCAATAGATGACGTCTTTTTACTGAGGAGAACGACATCCATTAACAAAATGTGGCAATGTACAAATACCGAATAGGAAGTAACCACCAAGTAAAGCAGCTGCAGCTATCGTCAGCTAGTTATAGTTGCTTACAATTCACATCGGTGCAAAGTGGGTTTACTACAAATAAAGGGGCTGCTTATAATATTAGTTGCACGCCAAATGGAGTAGAAATTCCTAACTGTTGGTCAAAAGCTGTCTTCTATTTTCTACAAGGTATTGCGACAAGGTAACTCTAAATCGATAACATTTTGGACGGCGTTGGCTGTGTGCTCCATACCAGTGGAAGGACCCTGTGATTCAAGGCTATCACGTTACCCTCAAGTTAGCTCGTGAGCTAGGACGGGCAGCCGGTGTGGACAAAGATGACGCATGATGACAACGATGTTCGCTTACCAGGAAGCCAGTATCCGTCCCCTTCAGAAAAGCATTTTTAAACGTATAAAGCCCGATGTCTGGTTGTTCTGTTGCTGTTATTCCACTGCACTATCTCCTCCCCTCCCCTGTTCATGTTACCTCGGTTGAATTCGGACCAAGACAGCTGCAGTGCGCCAAGATAATCAGGTGGGGGCGCTGTAGCATAAATAATATTGAAATGATGCCAGTATCCGTCTTTCTGTGAAGTAGTCAGACGATTCCTTGCTGGATAAAGTCCAGTCTGACCCAAAATGCTACAAATCCCAATGGTTTATCCCTACAATTTATACAGTTTTTTTCATAAAATCAAATACATTCAACTCACTAGATCATAACAATATTTCCTTCCTAAAATTAAAATCTGTTCATCTAATGGGAACAATATTGGCATTAGAGGAAGCAGTGAAATGCAAACTAAATCACATAAAATGATCAGATTATGCAGAACCGTCTAAGCAAATGGAGGCCAGCAGTGTGACTTCACTGGTTTGCACGTCTTTAACCCCAGTACTCCCTCATTCTACTTTTGCCAAACTTACTAAAACAATTTGAAACATATTTTTTATCGATGCATCTCTAAATTTACAAAATGCAAAACAATACAACCACAAACGTGTGCATGCACATATTAAAAAAAATCAAGCAGCCTTATATTTTGTGAGCCACAGGTGAATAGTACCAACATTATATGAGAAATATCTGATAAGAAACTGCACCTGAATTAATAACACAAAGATCTTTGTCATTGATGCCAAATAATATCCCATTGTCAGCATCTCAAGTTTACTTTACCTTTCCAGCCTTTAACAAAGAACAATTTGAACTCTATTCTGTGATGCCACAACATCCGCACCTGCAATGATAGCAGGACTTATGAGCTCTGAACCCGAATGCATCTAAATCCAGTTTGATGTGCTTGATACATTTCATTATTCACAGTGCAGCTGATCAGAAATGTATTAATGACATTTCTATTGTGATGTTTCTAAAGGTTATTCCTATATATACTGTAGACCGCACCATGTCTTTATCTCAGCACCATCCCTCCATCTATCCATGACCTTTTATGCCTCTGTGCAGCCGTGGCTGGAGGCATTATGTTTTGGGTTGTCCACCCGACTGTCTGGTCCATTCTCGTGAACATGACATCGCAAGAGCGCCTGGGGGGAAATTCTTAAAATTTGGCACAAAAATCCACCTGGACTCAAGGATGAACCATAGACTGTAAATAAAAAGGGATGAACTGATTAGCTCTTGGAGGTCAAAGGTCACTATGAACTTGTGTCCGTGCCATTTTCGTAAACGCAACATCTCAGGTACGCCTTGAGGAGATTTCTTCAAATTTCAAACATTCACATGTACTCAATGATGAACTTTGACAATTTCACACAAATGTGTCATGGTATAAAATGATGAAGTGATGACATTTCGTCAGACAGGGATGTAAACTGCAACATGACTGGTTGGTGGAGGCTTACAACCTGCGAGGTAGTATTTCTAGTATGGTGTGTGTCTGTGGTTAGCAGACTCTCACAAAGCAAACCCATTGCCACAAGACATGTGCCAAAATTATGATATGGGTGTGTCTTTTACTGATGGGTGTGATTTCTAGATAATTTCTCAAGCTGCAGCCAGACATACTTGAGCTTGGGTGTGTCAAATAAAATAACACTGATGGTTCAAACAGAACACGTCTTTCTTTCACTGAATCGTTCCCGATCACTTGTTGCCTTGAAGAAGAGTCTCTGTCAGTAAGTACAGTATGTGCCTTATTGTGATTTGATTTTGATGAGAGCAATAGTTAATAATATTACCCTGTTTTAGTAACAGTTCATGACTTTTTACCTAGTTTCCAAAGGTAACAGTGGTCGAGCAGTGATAAGCAATATCTGTGTGAGTTCTACTGTGTTTGGTGACATTTCACTTTTGTTTAAGAATCTGAATCAATTTAGAATAATCAGTGAGTGAAAAGATTAAGGGACAGGAAGAATGAGGATTTGTCTACACGTGTCTGGGGAAGTGAGAGTATTGTTGGAGGATGCTGCCAACTTCTAAACTAAAAACAATACAAAAGTATTTAAAGGAATCCAGAAGCTGCTTATGTTGTACAACTGTAAACGATTTAAGCCAAGAGGCCGAAGACTTTCAAATTCATGAAAACCATAATATGGATTCAGTAGCGTCTCTGAAACACCACTCATGTGGTCCCTGAGCATCCGCGTAAAAAGCGCAAGAATGCAGACAAAGAACTATTCTTGTGGCTGGAAAAAGGTTTTCAGATAAAAGATATGCTACGGTTTATAGTGCGATGAGTAATGCTCCTGCTCTGTAACAGACACAATGGCGACATCCACCTCATCCAAGACATCCAAGGCCAACACCACCTTCTCTCTGGCCTTGTTCAAAAAGCTGAGTGATGACGACAAGACGGCGAATATCTTCTACTCCCCTTTCAGCATTTCTTCAGCCCTGGCTATGGTGATGCTGGGGGCCAGGGGCAACACAGCCACACAGATGTCAGAGGTACAGTATACACACACTTTAACAGTTTAAAATGAACAGTAAAAAGTTTCAGTTCTCAGGTTAACACACCCATCTGGAAGTGTTTGTACAGGCATGCATTCAAAAGTCATTGCAAGTCAGTGGATCTGATTCATCATGGTGTTGGAATTTGGCAACTATATTATTAAAGGAGAAAGGCATGGGTTCAGGTTTACCTTTGTAATGTAAACAAGTTCTCTTAATGTATTGAAAGAAGAGGCATCATCCAAGAAATATTAAAAACATGAGTAAATGATTCAGACCCAGAAATGTATAAGAGGTGAGAGGGTTTTGGCCAGATTTTGCGATGGAAAACTTTGACCTCATTGTCTTGCAGAGTGGGTGTGGCAGGAGAAAGTGTTTGGACATGCATATATTACTCATTCTGTCTCCCAGCGTCAGCAGGGATCTGTTCTATTCTGCCTCGGATTACAGGGAGAGGAGTAGTTCCTCTGTGTCGTAGACTGTGGAGGCTGAAATCTTCCCCACCGAGAGAAGGCCGGAGAGCACGCTCCACTGTTGTTTTACAGTAGAGTTGCTTCTTAATAAATCTACCATATACTGGTTTACAATTAAAAGTATTTAATCCTACTGAAGCTAATACAATTACAGAATGAAGTACACTACTAACAGAATATATAATAATATGATCCGCGCGGAAAAGCTATTCACTCGCGACTCAGCCTGAAAACACGGATGTTTCCACGCTGAGAGCCAAGCAAGAAGAGAGCGAATAGCCCTTCCAGCACTTCCTCATACAGTTTGAAATCCCCCCCTTTTGTCCATCTCAATTCCTATTGGCTAATTTCGGTTGCCTCCTCCTGGCGTCAGGCTTCCGAAAACCCTCGCGCGTACCCGCAAATGTCTGTCTAGAAGTCTGACTTTCCCTTGGCTATTCTTCACACTTTAATACATTCAATGACTGTCTTTTATGGCTTAACACTCCTACGATAAACATTCTATATAAAGATAAGGATTTGCAACTTTTGGCAAAAACCTTCACAAGTTTCACAAACAAATATAAAGGTGCTACAAATTCTACTAAGATACACTTCTAACTACAAAACACTTCTAACTACAAATTCTAAAACACTTAAAATTATGAATCTTCTAATTATGTATTCCAAAACACTGACTGCACTCTCAGACTTTCACAAAAAAATCTTGAAGATTTTCATGTAAACAAATGCTGAATGATACTAAGATGACTGGGCTGATGGGATATGTGCCGCCAAAGAGAACAAAACAGAGACGTGTGATATTGTAACTTTAAGTTCATTTTGCTGTTATTAGAGAGCTGCAGGGATGACACAATTTTTTTGGGCCAATCCGGAAGTTAGCGTCGCAACGGTTCCCTCACAATAAGCCAGTGGGAGTTTAGGTAAAAGCTTCAAAATTCTCGAGATGGGTATTCACTGACTTATTATATCTCATAGAACAAAACATTAAAGTCTGTTCAGCTTGTGTTAACAGCAGGCCTTGTTTCAGGCATTTAACCAAAAACATATTTAAAAAACCTATTGTCTTCTAAACGAGAGACCCGGAAGTGCAAAAATGCTGACTCAGTCTCGGGTTTAAACTTCTAAACATATGTTCTTCTACTTTGGTAACATTTTTGACTGACTATAACTTTTACAGCATGGAATTGCTACTCTTACTTAAGTAAAAGATGTGAATACTTTATGACTGAGGGAATTAGACAACTTGAAGACTGGAATGACTCCAGAATAAAAAACGTGTATTAAAGCTGCGGGATGTCGGGATGTCGATGGAGTAACAATTCAGTCAGATGTGAAGTTGTCGATGTTGGCAGTTGAGGATGAACATGCGATGGAATTTCACTGGGAAGGGTTTCTGACTTTGTTGTTAGCAGAAGAGCATCATCAGTTAATGTGTACATGCATGCCTTTGTTTGTATGTGGGACTCAGCATGAGGCTGTACAGAGGTTTATTTTCTCTAGCCAGTCGCCAGAGACTTCAGATGGATATAGTTAACCTATGCATCAATTTGCCCTGCCACACACACACACACACACACACACAAACTATCACCTTTACAGTGATCCTATACTGATGAGAGAAACTCCCATTTGCACCCACAGGTCCTTCGCTTCACTGAGGCAGAGCAACCGAAGCAGGCGGAAGAAGAGCCGATGCAAACGCAGTCGGCGATGCACTCGCAGATGCAGACACGGATGCAGTTGCGGACACAGATACAGCGCACCAGCAGACTGCCTCAGTACCTGGTCAAGGTGGTAACAAAGCCAGAATTAAAGGCATAATTAATGATTCGGCTTAGTGGTGTCATCGGGTGAGGAAAACTGAGATTTTGGTATTCACACTTCATTTCCCACTGCTTTGCTCGCTAATCGTATTGTACTGCATCTTTTAAAATACAATTTAGAAATATAAAGTGTACTGTGAAGCTTTAAAAAGCAAAACAAGCTGAGTTATGAACAGGTGGAGAATTTGGTGATTTGACAAAGCAACAAAAGCACTCCATCCTAAAATGTCTTTGGTCCACTTTAAATAAGACGGTGTAAAACAACATACTAGTGAGCAACTGGGTGTGTAACTGCGAAAAAAACCCCGTCCACATGGGTTATTTATTATTTCACAATAATGTTCATGATGTGATGGCTTTTGTTTGGTCTGTTTTTGCCTTTTTCCATATTCTTTCCAAAAGGTGCTGTGGGTCTCATAAAGAGAAATTTAACTTCTGAAAACTTCCGGGTCGTGGGAGGTTTTGACGAAAGTCATTCAAATTACAGTAAATGATGAGAACAATGACACCAAAACCATCCATTTTATATTCCCTTCACTGGGCAGCATTCCATGCGGCACAGACAAATTGAGAAACAATTGCATTGGCCTACAGCATGGATTCATGACATGAATGACATCAATTTTTTCCTGCTTTGGTAATGTTTAAACACCCAACACAGCGTTTGCAAACTGTATATGGAGCACCAGGGTTTAATGATGATATTGGTGTCTATTCTCATTATTTAAGAGGTAAGCTGACCACTAGGTCAATAGTCCATATTAACATAATACAAAGTTATCTTCCATCTATCACTGGCTCAGTGTATCTTTGTAACACGCAGGTCTTCTCTGGCTGTTCGCAGTGCCTGAAACCCAAGAATGGTGAAGACGATGTCCATGCTAGCTTTTCCCAACTGCTGAGTGAGCTCAACAAAAAAGACGCTCCATATGCCCTCAGCCTTGCCAACAGGCTGTATGGGGAGCAGTCCTACCAGTTTATTGAGGTGTGTGTATGTGAGCCTGTTTTGCTCAGCATGAGTTATTTATTTGGTAAGAAAGTGAACTGCAACCCTGTAAATGTGCACCCTAATTTCTAGTTAGCTGAATCCAATTGCTTCTCGAGGTTCAACACATCCAATTGCTAACTGTATGAGACAATGGACCCTTTGCTAAGCCCCGCCCCCCTCTGCTACTCCGTCAAGCTCTCAGAGCTACCATGGAGCCCACACTGTCACTAACTGCACTCACTGAGTAAATATCAACAATTATTTTGGAGAAAAAAGCTATCTCAGAGAGAAGCAGACCAAAGGGAAACGTTTGCATTAGAGTCTATGGAGCAGAGCCGGATAGTTGTCGGACACTGGTCGGGGCTGGCTGCTGATGAGCTATGGTTGACCAGTCGGTGCTCTAGGGCGGGTCTTAGCAATGGGTCAGTTACATAACCAGCTCTCAGAAAATCATACTCAATAAGGGCTTTTAACACTCCATTCATGTTGGCTTTATTTCAAAATCAGAGATTAACAAATCCATTATTAGTTCAAAGATCTGAAAACTGTGAATATACAAATGAAACTCATGCAAATGACCTAGTATTCCTTGAAATATTTCTTCCTTGTGGATTGGTTAATGTGAGTATCTAATTGTGGTGTGAGTGTTCAAATGTGCTGTTTTTGCTTCCAGGATTTCTTATCAGAAACCAGAAAGCACTACAACGCTGAGCTGGAGTCTGTGGACTTCAAAACCAAGGCAGAGGACGCCAGGGTCAACATCAATAGCTGGGTGGAGAAGGAGACGCAAGGTAGATCTCACACAAACTCATCAGCACATTACATAGATTGGGAACTACATGGCCCCTTTCCAAGCCCTCTCCTTCTTATGAAAAAAAAGAGAGAGTACATGATACTGTAGGTGCACACCCGGGTTTTGTGTTGATGTGTACAAGTTCTTTGACCCATCTTTACTTTACGTTTTGTGTCCTTTGGTTATGTAATATTTCTTTTCTTTTTAATTATAAAACAATTCTACCTGATTCTATATTTGAGCCTGCTGTTCCTTGTGCATCTCTTGTTTTTCTTCTTCAAGTGGTGTTAGTACTTCTAGAAGTTGTGGTGGAATAAGAAATCAAATTTTCCTGAGCTCTGGATGAAAACATTGCTAGTCCGTGTCTCTGTCTTAATAATGATGTCTTTGCTCAATACTGACCACCAGGAAAAATCAAGGACTTGCTGAAGAAGGATATAGTGGACGGCACAACCATGCTGGTCTTGGTCAATGCCATCTACTTCAAAGGCAACTGGGACAAAAAGTTCAAGGAGGATTCTACTGTTGATGCTCAGTTTAAAATCAACAAGGTAATGCTACACAAAGTCTGAAGAAAAGAAATTAGCATGTCTTGCAAAAAATGTTAAGACATCAGGCTTCCATCGTAATAATTAAAGTGTTTATTTAAAACTATGATATCAGAAGAATCATAAACTGGACCTTTTGATGTGATGATAACGAGGGATGGGTACCAACACACGCTATTAAATGGGCCCCGGTGCTAAATTCTTAAAGACCAGAGTAGTGATAAGCTCCCACCTTATCAGTTCTTTTATCGGTACTTTTCAACGTTTTGGTGGAAGCTAATATATCATCACACTGCAGCTCGCATCTCCTCTGCTCTCTCTGTGGGGGCTGAGCTCCTCCAACTGACGATTGCTACGACAGCTATGCTCGTTACTGTAAGTGCAATAAAACAACAGCGAGTAAAAAGCCAATACTTTCTCAATACATCTGTTCAACAAGCATGAACATGTAAATATAAGTAGTTTCTCATCAACCGCCGCTCCCAATAACAGAAGCCGTCTGTCTGTAGTCTGTCGAGCTTAGTTTGTTTTTGTGAACTTCTCTGCCGGCTGAGACAAAGCAGCCCTCCTCAGGACAGAGGACAGGAGGAGTGACTGATACTGACTGATGTTTGTGTTCTTCATTCTTTATAAACGCTACTCAGGAATGTTGTTTCATTTATTGACATTTTAGATTTGTTTCCAGTGAGATATCAATGACTTTATATCGGGACTTTGCTGCTGTAAACATTATTGTTGCGGGTAGAAACAACATTTAGTTATGTTTAAAATGTATATAAATTCCAATCATGTTATGAATGTATTCTTTTTTTAAAATCATATACAAATCTTAAAAGCAATTATTTAGTTGTGAAAAAGAACCAATTAGAGTCTTGATAAAGAACTGAACCAATAAGGAGTATCACTAAGAGTTGTATCGATAAAATCCTAACGATACCCATTCCTAATGATGACTCAACAAGAAAAGGGCTTGTTCTGTTTGCTGCTTTCTTTAGAATGACACGAAGTCGGTGAAGATGATGTGCCAGAAAAGTAAATTCCGTCTCGCCTCCATTCCTGAGGCCAACTGCCAGGTAATGTCCGTGTTTTTCATCAGTGTGGTTTTGCCCATGTCTGTTTGTCTGCTATGCAATCTGATATTTGGGGGATTTGAGATTTTTTTTTAAATACAGTGAATGGATTTACCACAATTGATTCCATTTTGACTATTGTTCCATCTATCAGACTTAGGTTTTTGAAGATATGTCCATTCCTGTAACTAATCAGATTATCTTCAAATGAAATGAAAAGAAAAACATAATGTGTTTGGACAGATCCTAGAGATGCTCTATGAAGGGAAGGAGCTAAGCATGCTCATCTTCCTTCCCGATGAGATAGAGGACGACACAACAGGCTTGGAGAAGGTGGGACACGTATACACACACAAAAAAACAAATGCACAATTTTAAACGGACCAATTAATAATTCATATTGCACCCACACTAGCTGGAGAGGGAGCTGACCTATGAGAAATTTGTGGAGTGGACTCGTTCAGACATGATGGGTCAAACTGAGGTTGAGGTGAAGCTGCCTCGCTTCAAGATGGAGGAGACGTATAACTTGAAAGATGTTCTGACCAGCATGGGCATGGTGGACGCTTTTGATGTCACAAGGAGTGACTTTTCCGGTGAGAAACACCATAAATGTATAATTATTCTAAGAGCACAGCATATCTGAACAGAAAGAGCACCACTTCCCATACAGAAAGATGTCTTTCAAAACCCAAAATGTCGCACTTGAAATTTAAACAAAAACCTGACATCGGAAATAAAATGGACTCTCTCTCCTCTGCTGACAGGCATGTCCCCAGCAAACGACCTGGTGCTGTCAAAAGTCGTCCACAAGGCTTTCGTGGAGGTCAACGAGGAGGGAACGGAGGCTGCTGCTGCCACTGCTGCTATCCTGACGGAACGCGCTATAATGATTCCTGCCACATTCATCGCAGACCACCCCTTCCTCTTCTTCATCCGACATAACCCCACTATGAGCGTTCTCTTTGCGGGCCGATACTGCTCCCCCGAGTGAGAACTACTGTACGCCCTGCAGACATGGGAGGATTATGAGACAATGGGTCCCTGAGCACAGACATGTAAAGGGCACCGACCCCATTCTACGTGAGAACGAGAGCCACAGATAAAAAAAAAAAAAAAGAGACATATTTTTGATAATTTACATCTTTGTCTTTGTGGTCGTATCCTGTCTCTTGGTTGTTCTGGGTCTCGTTTTTGGTCATTTCGCAACTCTGTGTATATTCGCGTCTCTTTTTGATAGTTTTCTGTCATTTTTTGGTCCTTTTATGTCCTTTTGTGACTTCCCAACAAAAATTCTAGTAGAAACTTCAAACAGATCTGTGCAGAGTAGCCTTCTTCACTAATCCGTCCATGCCTGTAGAGCACAGTGAGGGGAGGGATGTATCTATTGAAGCTACTCTATATGGCTATGATGCTAAAAGGTATTGCTGGAAGAAATGGAGAATCACTGTTCTAGAATGTGTGTGTAAATTCTTATCATTGTTCCTGTCCAATATTTTCAAGACCCGGGTTTTGCTAGAGAGCCTTTGAAAAGAAACTGCTGTATGGTACTAGATCAAATAAAAGTGCATGTTGGAGCTTGGTGGGGTTAAATCTTGTTCATATCTTTTTGTGCATGCATTTTAACCAATGACTCTGTGTTTGTCCACCTTCTGTTTGTCATCCTGCACAAATGTGACTGTGATCCACATCATACACACTGCACCTTTACATTACATTCATCCTCCCATCCATTCATCTGTCACAAAATGGAAAGTTTTGTAGTTGTTTGCGCAAGTCTGTTCTCTGCAGGTGTGTAGCACCTCTAGTTCTAAGCAATGATAGCAATAGAGACAATACTAATACAAACAGCTAACTAGGTTCGGGGAGCGGTATGCCTTGAGTAACTCATGAGAGGAGTTGGTATTGAGTTAAACTGTTGACAGTTTTATTGCCTTACAACAAAACTTGTACAATACTGCACTTTGTATATAGAACATTGAAATAAAAATAGAGCTTGTTAAAGTACCAAATAGAATAGAAAAAAACAAAGAATAAGCCCTTTGAGTGGAAATCTTCAAAGCATGCTCCTTTAAATGAAGGAGTTTGAGATTCAAAGAGTTCAGTTCCTTGTCTTTGTGTGTTGAGTGTACGAGTCATCGTGTACATCTTGTAGTGTGTACGTGTTCTTATCTGGTGTCTCAATGGTTGAATGAATCTTGTCAGACATCTTCTGTGGGCAGATCCTACAGTAGGCCACACCGCTTCCACGACCATCCACAGTCTCATGGGGCCGGGCTCGCCAATAAGGAATCCTTCAGATTCTATTTGAAAAAAAACACCCAACCCACACAAATAAGTTATTCTCGTCTCTTTCTGTTTCGAACAGAATTGTGTCTGCTGGTTGTCAGTTACTGATTTTTGGACTCATCTGCCTAGTAGGTTTCATTATTTCTTCATTAATGGCACTGTTTATCATTCCTCTGCTCCCCATGTCTCTAAGCACTTGGGTAAATCCAGTGTACCTTTTTGCCCCAACCATGACAGTAACTTCTCCCATGTGCGGTTGGTATAAAGTTCTAACAAAACATTTAATGTAAGTTATATAAAGTTAGAGGCTTTGCACAGATTGTTTGGATTGTTGATTTTTCATCAATGCCCATGTTGTAGTTGCCATTTGCAAAACAACAGCTGATCCATGAAAAATATATAACAAAATACGTATACATTGATGTTATTGGATCTTGCTAACAAGTCTCAGTGGTCCATGCTTTACCAGTGCCTACAGAATTTGCTGGTTTCACTGGTAAAGCTGCCCTGTGGTGGCAGAGAGGGAGGGGGAACTTTTGATTTATCCAGTTAATTCAAGCACTAGTTGCTGTGCGCACCAGCGACCACCAAGGCCATTAAGGCCTACACATGTGAGCAGTCCAGACTGCCCCAGTACAGTGAGTGAACACAGTGATGCGAGCGAGTGAAAGCTGAGCCCTGCATTTCTGCTCCTCATAGAGCACAATAACCATTTTAATGTAACATAGTGGAACTTAGCGTGGAGGCAACCCTGTTTCCAAAAGTCATCAATTTCAATTACTGTGTTCCTTTTTAATTCCCATATCCCCACTGAGTTGAAGAGCAAGATTTCCACACACCGGATCAGAATCGCATTACGTGAGGTTTACATTGATTTTCACTAAAACAAGACGTTTTTCACGTTATAATAACATATTTTCGATTTTCCTGTTTTGTTTTCAATGACTGAAAGGAAACCAATTTGCCTCAGAGTAGATTTATTCATGATCTTAATGGTATTAGGAAATGTTGGATTTTCACCAGCAGCAACTTAACACGACTCCTATAGAGCTGTAATTGTAACAGAATCCCTGCACAGCTACCGTCTTCCTCAGTTGCGCTGCTTCCAGCACAGCTTGTTTTAAGTAGAGCATTTATCCAATCAGATTTCACCTCTATGCTGTCTCTAGGTAAAAACAATCTGCCCGGAGGCCTTCAGATTTACAAGTGAATCCCTTTGCAGTTTAAGTAAATGGGGATGATATTGTTGATTGTCATGGTCTTCAACCAATCAGATCTTTAGTTTGACATGTTGGGCGTATTCTTTGACGTGCAAGAGCTTCTAGCTGGCCTACAAGTACGTCAGCATTAACGTGCAGCTTGATTGGTCAGTGGCCTAGCGTGACTGTTGTGAATCTAGCTAGCAGAAGCTTGTAGTAGTAAGAGTTAAAGATATGTAAGAAGTTTCTACGTGACATTACATTTCTAGTGTTTGGCGGTGACAATCCCAATATCTACTGCCTCTGTCGAGCGGACATTTTCAGCCCTCAAATGCATTAAAACGTATTCAAGAAACACAACTGGGGAGGCTCGACTGTCATCACTGGCGTCCATGAATCGAGAAGGACTTCTTACTGGAACTGAACCGATGTACTGTACAACCGTGTCATTGAACTCTTTGTAATCAAAGAAAGGAGGATATACTTTGTCTTTAAGTGAACTGCTTTTGTTTTTTACATCTGCAGTAGCGTTACTACTACTGTTTCTATCGTGTCGTTTTTATGATATGGTTAATATGGTTCCCTCTGATGTGAATAATATTTGAATGGCCCGTGCTCTTCAGTGTGTGGAGGAATGCGTGTTTTAGCACCGCAGTTTTGCTGGAATGTGCAGAGGACTGTTGAATCGTTATTTGGGTTTTATGTTATTCAACCTGCTTTGTTGTCATATATATATATATATATGTATATATATATATATATACACACACACGTGACTGGCTCTTGTCATTGTGTTACGAAATACATTGATTTTGAGTATATGCATTGTCCGTAAGCATCCCGTCATGAGGTTATTCGGAGGTGGTTCTAATGAAGCTCTAGCGTAAGTTCAGACAGGAAGACTATACTCTCGCATGCCTAAGCCCATAGCTTATTTACCATACATCTGCCATCACTCCTCATGCAGGCACACTCATTATTTCCTGGCTGTTATTGTTCGGGGCTGTCAATCATATCAGCTGTCTAGATCAGCTGGTCTCTCTAGCCAATAGCACAACGACACAGGACATTGTTAGCCCATCTGGCTGCTGTCTCTATTAAATATGATTGTGTCTCTACCTTCAGTTCGTTCAAGCTGCTGTTGCGCAACCCTCCACCTCCCCATCTCCGCCCAATCTTCGCAGATTCATCAACTTCATCAACTTCATCATTCTATCATTCTATCAATCAATCATTCTATCAGCCACCATCACCACCAGTGTCTGGACTCCACGGGGGGATTTATATTGTTGCCGCTCAGGGCAATCACAACTCGATCACAAATCTCCTCGCTGAGTTAAAGTGCCAAAGAATTTCTGTGTAACTCATTAACGCAGCATCTGTCATAATAAATGTTAACTACTAATCATTCACTTGTCTCTCCTGATTGAACTGTAGTAGGACAGCACTGAAGGCCCAGGTATTAAATACACGGCCCCCGCACTGCTCTAAGGAAAAACGATGTATTCACAAATAGATCCACTTTAAGGAAATGTACTAAATCAAGCCTAATTACGTCAAGACACAAAACCAAACCCTGTGTTTATTATTACAGTAATAGTTTAGTAATAGTTACTGTATAATAATTATACAGCAATAACTTTAGAAAAATGAGAAGGCTGAAAACTATTTTCTCCATACGGCTTCCATACAATGAGATGTGAGAATTAAGGCTTATTCACATCCATGGGCTTGTTAAAAGAAGGCTGGGACACGTTCTTGAGACATGCGGTATGACACATGCGCAGTGTAGCAGAGGCTGTGACGTCGGACGGCACTAGAGATAAAGGGATGGTGCCCGTACAGGTGCTCTTTTGTTGCGCTCCGCCTGACAAAATGATTCAGGTACGCTCGTGCACGAGCTAATGAGCCTGTCAGTCCAGACCAGATTTCACTGCGCATGTGTTGTACTGCAATGAGATGACTTGTGACATTTTCTCTTTTTACTATCCTTGAAGAGAATGCGGAAGCTCATTTAGCAAGGTTTTTGGGGCGTGTCAGCCAGGATAGGTGTGATACTTTCTCAAGCTGAAGCCAGACATACTTGAGCTTGGGTGTGTCACATAAAGTAACACTGATGGTTCAAACAGAACACGTCTTTCTTTCACTGAATCGTTCCCGATCACTTGTTACCTTGAAGAAGAGTCTCTGTCAGTAAGTAAAGGATGTGCCTTGTTGTGATTTGATTTTGATGAGAGTGATAGTTAATAATATTACCCTGTTTTAGTAACAGTTCATGACTTTTTGCCTTTTTCACCTAGTTTTTAAAATGAACCGTTGTCGAGCAGTGATAAGCAATCTGTGTGATTTTTACTCGGTTTGGTGACATTTCATTTTTGTTTAAGAATCTGAATCGATTTAGAATAATCAGCGAGTGAAAATATTATGGGAAAGGAAGAATGAGGATTTGTCTACAGAAATATTCTTGTGGCTGGAAAAAATACGATAAAAGTGATTTGTGTTTTGCATAATCAGGGAAACGGATCCAAGCAGGAGAGTGGAAGTTTTTCCGATAAAAGATATGCTACGGTTTATAGTGCGATGAGTAATGCTCCACTCTGTAACAGACACAATGGCGACATCCACCTCATCCAAGACATCCAAGGCCAACACCACCTTCTCTCTGGCCTTGTTCAAAAAGCTGAGTGATGACGACAAGACGGCGAATATCTTCTACTCCCCTTTCAGCATCTCTTCAGCCCTGGCTATGGTGATGCTGGGGGCCAGGGGCAACACAGCCACACAGATGTCAGAGGTACAGTACACACACACACACACACGCTCTCTCTCTTAAACACATTTTGTGAAAATGAACAGTAAAAAGTTTCAGTTCTCAGGTTAACACACCCATCTGGAAGTGTTTGTACAGGCATGCATTCAAAAGTCATTGCAAGTCAGTGGATCTGGTTCATCATGGTGTTTGAATTTCCCAACCATATTATTAAAGGAGAGAGGCGTGGGTTCAGGTTTGGGCACAAGTTCTCTTAATAATGTATTCTTAATGAAAGAAGAGGAGTCTCCACCCATCACTCTCCTCATCTGCTGCTGAAACTCTGATCCACGCCTTCATCACCTCAAGAATTGACTACTGCAACAGCATTCTCCACGGCACATCATCCAAAATCCTAAATAAACTCCAGTACATCCAAAACTCTGCTGCTCGCCTGCTCACCCACACCCGCTCTCGTGACCACATCACCCCTGTTCTCCAGAACCTCCACTGGCTCCCCATCCCACAACGGATCCAATACAAAATCCTTCTCCTCACTCATAAAGCCCTCCACAATCAGGCCCCTCCTACCTCACCGACCTGCTTCACCACCACACTCCATCCCGTCGGCTCCGCTCCTCTGATGCCAACCTCCTGTCTCTTCCACTCAGGACCAAGCACCGGACATGGGGTGACAGAGCCTTCTCCATATCTGCCCCCTCCCCCTGGAACTCTCTCCCCAAACACATCAGAGACTGCACTGATCTTTGCACATTCAAATCTCAAATCAAAACCCACCTGTTCAAAACTGCTTTTAGTGTGTGACCACTATTGTCTATTTTATGTTTTTAGTGTTGCTTTTATATATGATGATTTTAATGTAAAGTGTCTTTGAGTTTTATGAAAAGCGCTATATAAATAAAATGTATTGTTATTATTATTATTATCTTCCAAGAAATATTAAAAACATGAGTACATGATTCAGACCCAGAAATTTAGAAGAGATGAGAGGGTTTTGGCCAGATTTTGCAATGGAAAACTTTGACTTCACTGTCTTGCAGAGTGGGTGTGGCATTTCACTGGGAAGCGATTCTGACTTTGTGGTTAACATGTGTGCATGCCTTGGTTTATATGTGTGACTCGGCATGAGGCTGTACAGAGGTTTATTTTAGCCAGTCGCCAGAGACTTCAGATGCAGATAGTTAACCTATGCATCAATCTGCCCTGCCCTGCCACACACACACACACACACACACACACACACACACACACACACACACACACACACACACACACACACACACTATCACCTTTACAGTGATCCTATACTGATGAGAGAAACTACCATTTGCACCCCCAGGTCCTTTGCTTCACTGAGGCAGAGCAACCGAAGCAGGCGGGAGAAGAGCAGATGCAAACGCAGTCGCTGATGCAGTCACAGTCGCTGATGCAGTCACAGTGCACCAGCAGACTGCCTCAGTACCTGGTCAAGGTGGTAACAAAGCCAAAATGAAAGGCATAATTAATGATTAGGCTTAGTGGTGTCATTGGGTGAGGAAAACTGAGATTTTGGTATTTACACTTCATTTCCCACTGCTTTGCTCTGTAATCTTATCGTGCTGCATCTTTTAAAACATAATTTGGAAATATGAAGTGTACTGTGAAGCTTTAAAAAGCAAAACAAGCTGAGTTCTGGTTTGTTTTTGCCTTTTTCCATATTCTTTCCAAAAGGTGCTGTGGGTCTCATAAAGAGAAATTAAACTTCTGAAAACTTCCGGGTCATGGGAGGTTTTGACGAAAGTCATTCTAATTACAGTAAATGATGAGAACAATGACACCAAAATCATCCATTTTATATTCCCTTCACTGGGCAGCATTCCATGCGGCACAGACAAATTGAGAAACAATTGGCAATACAGTAGCATTGTCGAAAAAAAAGTAACTGACCATAATGTTTGGCCTACTACAGCATGGATTCATGACATGTAATAAAGGTGGTAAAAAAATTTGCTCCTGCCTTGGTAATGTTTAAACACCCAACACAGCGTTTGCACAGCTGTATACGGAGCACCAGGGTTAATGATGATGTTGGTGTCTATTCTCATTATTTAAGAGGTAAGCTGACAATAGTCCATATTAACATAATACAAAGTTGTCTTCCATCTATCACTGGCTCAGTGTATCTTTGTAACACGCAGGTCTTCTCTGGCTGTTCGCAGTGCCTGAAACCCGAGAATGGTGAAGACGATGTCCACGCTAGCTTTTCCCAACTGCTGAGTGAGCTCAACAAAAAAGACGCTCCATATGCCCTCAGCCTTGCCAACAGGCTGTATGGGGAGCAGTCCTACCAGTTTGTTGAGGTGTGTGTATGTGAGCCTGTTTTGCTCAGCATGAGTTAATTATTTGGTAAGAAAGTGAACTGCAACCCTGTAAATGTGCACCCTAATTTCTAGTTAGCCAAATCCAATTGCTTCTCGAGGTTCAACACATCCAATTGCTAACTRKAWRWKASRRTGSACCMTTYRCTAAGSSYYGC